TAGACACTAGTTAATTCTTTACTTTGCAAGGAAAGACAAGATTTTACCTGGGGCATTTTTGTTTGTCTTAAGCTAAAAATTTTTATGGCCCACTTCTGCTTCTGGCATTAATGGGGGTTTATAAAAAATGGGGTTTATGTTGTCCCTTCATGAGTAATAGAAATTGATACTTCTTTTTTTCAAATGTATTTTGATTATTCAAATAACAATGAGTGAGAAATTGAAAAGAATTATGTTTCACAGCCAAATCAAGTAGGCATTTTGTCTAATTCACAAAGAAAATATTTTATATTTAAAAAAATTATCAAATTCATTCTTAACCCAGAAATTACTCTTTGCTAACCTTCTATCAAGCTTTGAAAGCTATAAATCATAAAGAAAGATTTTGATCATCTATCTTCCTCAGAGCTTCTGGTGAAATTGAACTTCCAGAGAGGAAGGGCCTTAGAGTTAACAGGAGAACTTCCTCCTCATAATGCTACTAGTTGAATATATAGAAAACTCTTGGTTGTTGAGTCTGAGTTGACTCATAGCTGATCCACCAGCAGGACTTTAAAGTTTCTAAATCCCACAGAAGGAAAATATATATAATACACAAATAAATATTATCTTCTGTGGCAGACTGAGGGTAAAGTATTTTTATAATTATCAATAATGAGACAGATAGCGAGGAATGAGCTAAAACAGAGGGCATGAAAAACAGGGGACCAGCAGCTCTCCACTGAAGTCCCTCATTCCAGCCTCCCTGTTTCTTTATAGAAGATTATCAGGAAGTAAATCACAAAGAGAATTCAATGCAAATGAAGCCAAGCTCTTTCTATTGAAAACCTTTCCCTTGACACAGGAGGGAGGGGTCAGCAAATGCAAGAATCTGGTGAAGCCTTAAGGATTGCTTAGTGCCTCAGGGTGAACTGTATCCTGAAATAGCATTTGGTTTATTACAAATACTTAGTATTGGCTTCCCATAATCTTCAATTCTCTGTCAATCTATTATTATAGACATTTTAAAATGATCTTCAGTAAGATTTTACTTATATATTCTATTAATTATACTTGTGAATAATTTTCACATTCTCTTGGATCACTATGTTTGGGAATGGAAAAAACTATGGACTTCTTCCAGTAGGGTGGCCATGTAGCTATCTTCTAAATTGTTTGGCAAAGCTCAGTGAGCATATCTAGAGCTTCCTCCATTTGTTGAAATGTGTGAATTGGTATCTAATCCATTCTTGGGGCTTATTTTTGCCATTGTTCTCAGGGAATCTGGAAATTGTCCCTTCATTCTGGCTAGGATAGTACACTGACAGAGAACTGTCAAAAACTCAGGCTGGATTTAGAAGGAGTCATGACACCAGGGATATCATCACTGATGTCGGATGGATCTTGATTGTAATCAAAGAATATGAGAAGAATGTATTTTTGCTTTATTGACTTTGAAAAATCATGTGACTGTGTGAATTGTAGCAAATTATTCCTGACATTGAGAAGAATGAGTATCCCAGAAAACTTAATTGTGTTCATAGGAAACCTCTACCTAGACCAAGAAGCTAGCATATAGCAAGGGAACACCGGTTGGTTTAAAATCAAGAGATTTGTACATTAAGGCTGTATCCTTTCTCCTTATCTATTCAATATGTATGTAGAACAAATCATTCCATCATATCACCCCCCAGTTTGACCTCCATACTTCAATACAATTAGACAATCGTCCTAGCTTCATCTTCAAATTTCTCCTATTTAAGAATCTGCTGGAATCTGTATATACCATAGCGTACCAGTGCTAAGGCAAAATAGGGCACAAGAGTGGACTCTTTAAGTCTTATCTTACTAAACTGACTGTTGAGTTGTGCAAGTCTTTAGTTAAATTACTTCCTATTGCCTTGGCTCATATCCAAGCAGCACTCTGTTCACATTCCTTTGGGATCCCCTTTGAACTAATGT